TGGCTCATTTAGCGGTAGTGCTGGACTCCATCGCTAAGCTGGTCATGGATCGTGTGTCTTGACAACACGGATTGACTGTGGCAAACGTCTTTAATAGAGACCCCGGTCAAAGGGAGGGTAAGTTTTGGCCGTCAGTCTTCAAAGTGATGGGCACTAGACTGGACATATCCACGGCGGATCATCCACAGACCGATGAGAAAACTGAACGCGTTTATCGTGTTATAGGTGATATGCTTCGCAGCGTTTGTGCTGACACACCAAAACAATGAAGCACGATGTTCCCACTTATTGAGTTTGCTTAAATAACGCAGTGCATGCCCCTACACCATTCTACGCAAACGGTCTAGTTGATTCTCGCGTTCCATTAACGCTACCCCATGCCACATCAGGGCCTAGTGGGGAAATAGATAGCCGAAAGACAGGCTAATATCGGCCCTGTTGCGATTCGCAAGAAGGTGGAATCGTTTCTTTCAACGCGTTCTGACGAATCACGTCGCATCTGTGACGATGTTGCTGGAAGCCAAGATGTTCAGAAAACCAATCAGATGCCTAATGAAAAAAGAACGAACACGAGTTAAAGTGGGCGATATGGTTATGTTATGTACGTGAACGTATTTCACGACCCGTGTTGCCACAAAGTGGCTCAACTTCCGCATGCGTCGGGTTATCTCTCATTCTTTACGTTTTTTCCTTGTCTTGGCCAGAGTCTATTAAGCGGCGCGTGCTCTACAGCCCTACAGGCTGCGCGGTCCTGAGCACATAGGCAAAAAAGTACCGGTTGGAGCACGTTGAAGGCGGTGTCCTGCGGGAAGTGTTTAAAGGTAGGTATCTAGGACCATCGGTAGCATTACTCGGCGTCTGTCTCACCATTCGACGGTCTCACTGGGGTCGAAGAAACTTTCCATGAAGCGGTGGGCTGGGATGCCTGCTAGTCTGCGAAGGATGTGGCCAAGAAGGGTCCATCGGCTGCGAAGCAAGTGAAATCGGAGTGGCTCAGTCTGGGTACGGTCGTAGAGCTTGGCATTGGAGATCGTGTCTGGATAACGGACGCCAATCACTTTGCGGAGCTGTTGAAGATGGAAACTTTTGAGGCTGTGTAGCACGGAATCGGTAAGGGCGTAAGTCCCGCAATTGTATAGCAGGATAGGCAAGACGTAGCAGTTGTAGAGGCGAAGGCGCGTAGCTTCTGAGGTCTTCGATGGCCGAAGCCAAACTTTTCACATGCGATGGAGCGCGGCGGACGCGAAGTTCTTACGAGGGGAGACGTCTTCTGCGTCGCCGAGGAGAAAACCTAGTTTGCGCTTTATGCGCCAATCTTCATCCTTGGCATGTAAAATCCGGTTGGACTGCGCTTTTGGGCTGCGGTTTCGATGGTGCGTTCGGTCTTGGACGTGCTCATCTGGAGTGACCATTTGAACAAAACAGCAGAGACTTCAGTCTCGATCAGGGTAGCTATTTCAGCGCTTGGCAGACGAAGTCGGCGTTGTCGGCGTACAAAATCATGTCAGCGAGGAGATCGTGGGGTAAGTCGAGTTTTCTGGCTAGGTCTCGTAAGTTTCTTCAATGTAAACAACAAAAAGAACAGAGTACATTAATCACCCATGGGAGTACCTTTATTGCTCACGAAAGGTAAAAGTAGGCGGTTGCCGAGTCGGAGGGAGAGCATCCCGTAGTAGTTGGATCTGTCGAATTTTATCATTATCAAGAATTGGATCGAGCACGGAGTAGTTTGTCGCGGTTGACGGTGTCAAAAGCACGGGAGAGGTCGATCCCAAGAATATGGAACCGTTCTTTGTACCTCTGAGCACATGCTGCTATCAACCTGTAGGCCAACACTGCATCAGCAGTGTTGCGACTGGGTCTGAAGCCGCTTGGTGCGGAGACATAAATCGTTCGACCTTGGATGAGATGCGGCGAAGCACCACTAAAGAGATCGTTTTACGGTTTATGGTTAGTAGGACGATAGGTTGAAGGCTAGCGTATTGGCCAGCCGGCTTGTTTGACTTGAGGAGTCCGAGAAGTATCCCGTCGCCCAGGTGGGTGTTGTATCCTGTGACAAGTCCGTGATTGATGATGTCGGCAAGAGCTAGTAGCTCTAATCCATACTTAAGTAACTAGGCAGGTATAGAGTCCGGGCCCGGTGCGCGTCCATTGCGTAAGCGACAAAACGCGCATTCGAGCTCGTACGCGGTAATCGGGTTCTATAAGGGGCGTGAAAGGCCGTCGTTGGCGACGGGTCTGCGCTTGGGGCCGATAACTGGTTTGCAAAGTGTTGCTTGACCTTGGTACCTGCTTCTTTACGGCTGAAATTACATTTACCTGTGGAGTCACAAACCTGTCAATGGTGAGCGCCGTCGGAAAAGGGCGCGCATGGCTTCAAACATGTGAGTTGAGCGGTTCAACTGTCAATGATGGCAAGTTTCTCGTCGATGAAATCTCCAGCGAGAGCGTTTTCTGCGTGCTTGGATCCGGTACAAATGACGATTGCGTTTAGTACGTAGAACCGTGACGTCGTGCGTGTGGTCGCTGTAGATGAGCTGCCGAGGGTGACGATATTCGTACAAGAGGCGGGAAAGCTCGAGATCTACTGCTTTAGTATGGAGGGCGAGCGGCATGTAGCCAACAGAGTCTTCCACAGCCCTGAAGTACAGGAAGAAGAGTGGTTGTCTAGTGTTGATTCGCAGTTTTCCGTTATGGGGGAGGTCAGCAAGTTTTTCTCAAGAATTTGCCGATACAAGGTGCGATACCTGCTTTCATGGGCAAGAAGATGTCGAAGTCGAGCGTGAAGAGCTTGTAGTCCGACGGTGTGATAGTGACACCTTAGGATTGCGCGTTGCTGCATAATTCTTCGTTCGTTGGCTGCATATGATGTAGTCGAATTGGTTGAAGATGCAGCGATTCTTAGTCGCAGTTCATGTCGTGATGGTGCGCGCGCGTTTTCGAAATGCTGTATTAGTAGTGAATAATTCGTTAGAATCACAGAAAGAGGCGAGGATGTGGTCATTACGGTTCCTTTGGATACGGCCCCATTGCCCGAGAAATGATTCGGTTTTGCGGCGTTGACCAATTTTAGCATTGAAATCACTAATGATAGTGGTCGTGTCGCGTTGACAAAGCTTAGAGAGCGCTTGTAAGAGTAGAGTGAAGCAGTGATGCACTTTTGCACGAGTAGGTAGAAGTAAAAGTAAAATATTTTTGCATTAACTACTCTCCTTCGCTAGTGCTCTAACATGTATGATAGAATCAACTGCAACTATACCATTTCTAGTCTGTAGTCTTCGTCTATCCCGCCTCGTAAATAATTCTTTTTCCTCTTTTTTTTCCCATTATTCACCCAACAATCTTCTCTCCTTCTCTTTTTTATTTTAAAACAATCTCCACAATAAAATTTTCAAAACACACAAAAAAATTTACTTTCTTTTTTCCAACCTGTCAAAAACGATATTTTCTATCAGCGCTGTGGTCAAGTCCACGTAGAAGCCGTCGATGTATACACACTATGGGGCGCATATGCATTAACAATGTTCACTCTTTGGGCTTTAGGCAGACGTAGTTGGAGGACTCCAACTCGGTCGGACTGGGCCCAGTATGTGTAAGGAAACCTGCGTAAGTGGAAAACAACGGCAAAACCAATACCATGCCAACGGTTAGAGCATGAAGTGTCAGGAGATGATACGTACCGGTCTTCTGATCGCTCTAGAAAGCAATGCAAGTTTTGTAGATCCCGAGAATGTCAATCTTGTAAGTCGACAGATTCCGAGGAAGGGTCTCATGCTGCTTACGCTGGGAACCAAAAGATTGCATATCAAACGTACCTAAGCGGAGATGTTGGGCTTTTGGGCGTGGCTGCGGGCGTCGTGGCGGCTTGACTGGCGGATGGGGTGACAGAGGGTAGAGAGAGGGGTGTTGAGGGAGAGAACCGTCAAAGACTGACGGATGCGGTGAAGCACCCGTCAAAAGGCCTGAGCTAGCATCGGGAGGGCGTCATCCCAATCCGACCACGATATGGTTTTTTAAATGCTAGGAATTTATCAACTCGCACAGAGTCTGTGGTATATAAACCCAAACTACGTCTACTATTTATTGGATGGATCCTTTAGACCATAAGCTAAAAAGCCTTAGCATATACGCTGAACCTTCGTAAGAAGATGCAAAAACACCCTGTCTTCTATGTAGGCTTACTAAAGCCATACCTCACCCATCCTCGGTGGACATCGAGAGGTTATTTCCATACTCCCCGCCGAAGGAGGCGGGTAATACGGCACTGGAAGTGCATTTGGACGCTGGAGGTGTACTAAGATGTCATTTCTTACGCGGGTTGAGAGCGCTCAATCGCCGCTAAGCGATCAAAAGTCTCAGAGCAATAACGCTCAAAGGATTGAAGGTGTCGTTTGACACGGATATGGGAGCGATGACAGGTGAGACATCACTGACTCAATATCATCACGCTCCAGGATCGTCAGGCGACGTTTGATCTCAGAGAAATCAAGGTCCATGGGTCACCGACCCTCGCTGACGTTAATCGATGAGCTGGGTCATTAATAGTTCCACGTCGAGCACCTATTGGTGCGACGACTTCGCCAGAGTCATAGTCATTACCTGGTGAAGTGGAGGGGTAATCCCCAGTCGTATGACTGTGGGAATTTAAGGTATCCCTCCGGCAGGATTGCCCGGATGTCGTTGATGCTTTTGACTCTAACGGAATCTGATAAGAGATGACAGACAGGATTGTTAAGGACCTCTTAAATATATTATTAACCTTTGCTTCATTTAAAGTGCAAGTTCAAAAGTACTTAATATTCAATTAAAAACGTAAGAGTTTTGTAATTACTCTAGATACCATACCAACCTGTTATATATAATACTATATGTAGCTATCAGAAGTAACAGGTCTTTCTTTTTGCTGAAAAGGAAACCCCGCCCTCACAAAGCTCCAAAGGCAACGTGTAAACGAATATTCATTCTATAGTGGTGAGGTGTTGGCTATCTATCTAGTGGCAATGGCTCCACGCAAGACACGCGGCTCATTGAATACGAAACATCGTGCACCTATTAGAAAGCTCAAGGTACCAAGACACTGTCAAGTAATTACTACAGAAGAAGAAGCAGAAGAGTGTAAAACAGAAAATCCAGACTCAGACTTGGTCTTAGATCGAATGCCTTTGGGGACTCAGAAAGTTGATGGAATCAGATCCAGTCGGAGTTGTAGTCAACACATTGATGTGAATAATATGTTGTCGGGCACTTATTTCTCAAAAGCAGGTCGCAATACCTTAAGTAAACGATTAAAAGTAACGTGGGAAACATTACAGCAAATGTCCAGTCGACAGCAAGAACAAGAAGACGCTGTTTTGGACGTGAATACAGTAGACAAGCTTAGTTTTTTAGTTGCTGAGCTCTTGCAGGAAACAATCATGCAGCACCAAGACAAGAACGTACGGTCTCTTGTGGCCTGTTGTTTAGTGGAAATCATGCGCGTGTCATCACCTGACACACCGTTTAGCTCGGAGGAGGAATTGTATCGGGTTTTTAAGCTCTTTATTGAGCAAATAAGAGTGTTGGCTATCGAGCAAGCAATGACGTTGAGTGAATTACACAGTTTTCATGTGCTCGAGAGCCTTGCTACGGTAAAATCGTGTTTATTGGTTGTTGGATTGAATTTTACCATGAAGAAAGACGAAGATGCAGTGATGGTACAATTATTTCATGCTTTTTTTGAGACAATTCAGCACAAACACTCGGCTAAGATTGAACATTTAATGTTGAGCATTATGGTATCATGTATTGAAGAAAGTGACCATATTGAACAGTCACTATTGGATGTAATTTTGAGCGCTTTGGTGAGTGAACCAAGCTTGGATCAAGTTGAAGAAATGAGTGGATATGGTGAACCTGTGAGCCCGTCTCACATGTCACGGGAATTAATCCGACGAACAAGTGATCTTCTTCAAATTCCACTCTCAAATTATTTTAACAATATTTTGATTGGCAGCCAAGACAGGTCGGGTTCACAAGATACCTTAAAGCTTAAAGGGCATGTGTACACTTTGATTTATAAGGTGCACACGATCAACCCCTCGCTATTGCTGCATGTTCTTCCTAATGTGTGTCTCCAACTTCAAGTAGATGAAGTTGCCACTCGGTCAGATGCTATTGCTCTCATGGGTAAATTATTTGCGTCTGCACACGCAGATTCTGGGCACCAGTACATGAAAAACTTTTGCGAGTTTCTATGTCGGTTCCGCGACGCAAGCAAGGACATTCGGCTGCAAATGATTCGCGTGTGTGTGCCCATTTGGGAGCACAAGCCTGACGTAGCTAGCTTGTTGGAAAAAGAGTTTATCTTGCGGTTGAATGACCCGGAGTGGGAAGTACGGCAGCTTGTAGTACATGAGTTGTGCGATTTTGCAGCAAACCGCCTGGAGTTGATCAGCGAGGAGTGCCTTCGGGCTGTAGGAGAGCGTATGAAGGACAAGAAAGTCGTGCTAAGAAAGGAAACTATGACGGGTCTCAGTCAAGTATTCAGTGCACACATTTCGTCGTACTGGGCACTGGAAGACAAGGAGGAAACCCGGCTATTATCACTAAATCATCGCAATATCCCAGTCGTCCATATGAAGAAACTGGGCTGGATCCCGGACTTTGTATTAAAATGTTATGCCTATCCTCAACAGGAGCTAAAACTTCGTGTGGTTCAGCTTCTGGATGATATTCTTTTGCCCAAGGGTTTTTCAGAGCGAACTCGCGCGAACGGACTACTGTTTATTTTTCACTCACTGGATGTCACTTCGAAAGAAGCACTGCGACGAGTTTTCATTGAACGTGCCAAGTGCCAAGATGCGTGCAAGCAGTTTGTTGATTTTAAAATGCAGCATCGTCACCAAGAGAATGCCTCAAAGACTGACACTTATGCTTTGGATAACGCAAAACAGCAGCTGTTAACAAAACTTACACCTTTATTCTCAGACATTAGTGGCCTGAACAAGCTCTTGGAAAGACTGTCGAAGTGGAAGGATCACACTTTGTTTAAGCACATGGGTGAGTTGTGTGACTTTACAAAAAGTCAGCGTGATATCCGTCATGCGAGAGATCAATTAACTCGATGTGTGGGATCAAAAACACCCTTGGGGGAGTTCTTAAAAAGGTTTGTCGCAAGCTTTCATTGCTGACAATGAATCAAGCTACTGTTGCTGCGTTGTTGGATTTCTTAGTCTTGAAGCAGGGACGGCCGATGAGAGAGAATCGCAGTATCGTAGATCTTGTAGTAATGGCGTCCAGTGAACTACCCGAGCTATTTACCCCTTTCATTCGCGGAAAGGTTACAGCGATTCTAGTTCAAAGCAACGCTGGCTCAACTGCGAATCAATCCGCAACGAATGACGAAGATGAGGAAAACTTTGTTTCTATCGATCCCCGAGTGATTCTTGGTGCCTTGCATCTTCTTGCCAATTACTCGCGGCATTGGTTTGTAAGTGTTGGCGGAGGTGATACGTTACTTGACGGCAATGAAAGTAATCTACCGTCTGCGGAATTGGTAAAACAGCTGCACAACTTTTGTCTTGGGGACAGAAATGTCGAAGCGCAAAACTTTAACTCTGCCAAGGAACGTCGGGCAGCAGAATTATCAGCGTTTTCTCTCTCCCACTTCTACGGCAGAACAGACGATACAATGGACTTACTTAACAAGCTGTGCTCGAAAGAAAAACTTGGTTCGCCCAATCATCCTAGAGCTTTGCCAGCGTTGCAAAGTCTTCAAATTTTTGCTAAGCGTTGCTGCTATATATTTGCTGAGGACAGATTGCTCTTTTTACGGCTATGGGCACATCTACTCGACGATATGGTTAGTAAAGACGATCAGATTTCGAGATCAAGCACGGCAGTACATAGAGAACAAAGTCACAACAGTAACCGATCGGCTGCGAAAAATTTAGCTGAAGTTCGTTGCTTGGCTATGAAGGTGGCTGTAAATCTGGTTGTGTACTGCGGATCCACTAAAGGTTCATCAAGTTTGGCAAGTGAAGGTACGAAACTGATCAAATTGCTTTTTGACATTTTGCGCTCGGACGGAACGGCACATACGTCAGCACCCACTGTGGCTGCTATGTTCAGAGCTACTGCATCGTGTGGTCTCATCAAGATCATGCGCAACCGACAGCTCGAGGCATCGGTGTCAGTGTCTGACTGGCATTTGCTTGGTTTCACGATTCAAGACTCAAACGAAGATGTCCGCCGAAAGTTTGTGAAAAAGTTGGCGTCCCACTTGATAAAGCAGCATGCGCAGCATCCGCACAAGTACTTAAGCTACTTGGTGCTTGCTGCTACCGATCCCAGCACCAGTGTGAAGAAAACTGCCCGAAACCTACTTAAGATTGCTGCTGAGCGTATGCGTCGCATGTTCGATGCTGCGTCTTTGCGCGAATCGAAAATGGCTTGTAGTCCTGGCCACTTGGAAAGTAGTTCGCCCACTATGTGTGCACTTATGGTACCTGAGTACGCGCTGCCTTACGTGATTCATCTTCTGGCACATCATCCCGGATTTCCAGTGAAGTTGGTAGAGAGGACGCCTTCTGTCATGGTATTGCAAAGTGCTCTGTGGACTGACCAGCTAACATATCTTGGTTTTTTCCTTGATGGATTGGTTTCGGCAAATGCCGCAGCTGCAGACAATATTGCTTTTTTGCTTCAGATGCTGACCAAGCTCTCCCAATGCCACGACGTCGAGAATCCTGACGATGTCAATATTTATCCTTTGATAGACAGCACTGTTTTCTTGCTGAAGAAGAAGATCAAGAACCAGTCCAATCTTAAGCCATTTCCAGGGAAGATTTATTTGCCGAAGCATTTGTATAGCCCTGGAAGATGCAGCACGCTAGTGACTTTGGGTGGGAGGAAAGAACCGGAGGCGCCTGAATCGCTAGAGAGGATTCCAGCCTCTCGTAGCACAAGACTCATGGTGCGTACTACATTGAATTTGTTTCTGTAAAGTTTCACCTAAACATGTTGCTGCATGTTGGAACATAGACGTCGCTGTCGCCAATCAAACCCATGGACTTTGCGGAGCATTTCATGAAGCTGAATTCTCCTCCCGGGAGTTCTTTGCTGAGCAGTTCCCTGAAAAAGCGGAAGCGCTCACTCCTCAAGGCTGATGGAAGTTATTTGGATGCTGAGGAAGAGATGAAGGAAGACAACGATGACGATGCACGTGAGTCCGTGGCTGCGTCACCGCGGCACCAGTCGTTATCGAGGAATGGTCGACCGGCAATGCTTTCATTTGCAGACCATTCTAGCGATAGTGGGGTCGAGTCAGATGCGTTCTCGGGGATTGTGTCATCGCATTTTACGACTTCCAGGCCGAATGAGTCAGCATCTGCAGTATCGTCCCTAAGCTCGGCCGGCTTGCGCGAAGTGGCTGCTGAAAGGACGGTGCAGAGCGATGTGTCAGCGAAGAAGCGCACACGTAGCAAAACTAATGCAGCGACGGAGTTGGAAAAGGTATGAAGCAACAATCATCCATTAAAGAAGCGTGGAATTGTGCTCACATAACGTTTCGTATGTCTAGCCAAGATTGCGGTCTGCTGGACAGTGCCAATGAATTGGCGAGAAGATGCGGACAGGTGCAAGGACTATCAGGCTGTTTTTATTGATGCCAGCGCCTTATTTTATTTAGTTTGCTTTCAACATCGCTGACGTCCTAATGCACTATTACCTATGCAAATTGCCGTGTTCTTGCGTTGTCGTTGTTGCCGTGGCATGTTGCTCGTCTTGAGCAGAGCACCGAGACTATAATAACGTTACATCTTTTCGCGACGAATATGACACAAGAAGACACGGTGTGCAAGTCGATCTCGGAAAGCAAATGCAGGGATGCGCGTACGTAATACGTAGCTGGATACAATTCGGATAACTACAATATTTACAGTGAAGTTTACGCACAAATTTTGCTGAAAGCGACTACTTTACGAGAGTAGAAAGTCGACGCTATGGCGAGGGTCTACAACATCTTGCTTCAAGAAAGAAATGGCATCATCGTGCTCGGCGTTGAAAGGCTCTTGTATTTCTTCCACGGTGCTGCGGATCTGTCCGGTCTTGGAGATATTAGCTGCAGCAAGAATGGACGCGGCATCCACAAGTGAAACATGGGCGCTCAAAGCACTAACGAGGTCCCAGTCTGCGCTGAACCACGTCACAATGCCGTCAGCGTCAAATTCAAAGCGGTAACGGACTGGAACGACGAGCATGGAGCTAATAAACTTCTGCAACAGGTCCATGTGGTGAACGAGAGACGGATACAGCGTTAACACGCCGTCCCGACGACAATTGATATGAAAGTTGGTGTCTATGACGACGACAGTGGAATCGGCCAAAACCGATACATTCATTGAAAGGATCTCGTATCGACTGTATACATAAAAGTCGCTAAAGCGTTTCCATAGCAAGATGATCGTCTCGACTCCGGCGTAGTCTGGGCCTACGGTCTGCGCTGTCATGATGGAGCGAAGAAATTGCTCCTGCTGGATCACGTTTGTTGGAGAGATGCCGTACTTAAAGAGCCGAAAATACACTGACGCTGGGGTGCCAGCTCGTCCACGGCTAGACGAGCTGGCACCCCAGCGTCAGTGCCTCTTGAGCTGAAGAAGTTTCGGTCGACGAAAAGTCGTTGACGTTTCGAGTTGAGTTGCTCAATCTCTGTAAGCAGAGTCTGCACGTCGTGTCCAAGCGTAATCATTTTCTCTTTCTGCTTGGCTCGGTGGCGCCGTTGATGGAGCTTGTACTGCAGGCGTCTGCAAAGAACCTTGTCATTAATGTCCTCTTCCTGAGGGTGCTTTGAACAAGCGGACGACTTGCCACGGGCTACAACGGCCACGATGCCCGAAACAGCGGCCATTGGTGGTTGGGAATTTGGATAGTGTGGGGCGTTCCTCAAAAGACGGTGAAAGCCAAAATGAATGTTTGAGAAGTTGACGCAAATGTCAGCCGTTTTGTGGACGACTTGTTCAGCTGTTGTTGTCGATGATGCCGATTGTTGAATGGCTGCGTTCCATTGAGCTGTGATGGATAGCCTCACGCCCATGGCGATGGGACGGGCTTCGGTATTGCATAGTCAAACCAAGATTCTTGCCGCTATGCGATACATGAACGATTTGAATTGTAAAGGGAGTGATATTGGACACCTATTGAGGATGTCAAACATCCGGATCCTTAAACTTTTGTGAAATTATAAGGCGATCGGTGGAAACAAACACAACGAGGATTCAATATGCTTGCGTCTATGCAAAGCAAATCCTTTTTAGAATGGAGAGAGTGGGTTATGGACACGACATACCTGACTACGTACGACACGCAACGCCGCACAGAAAAGATTACAAGCCTGCAACCACCTGCGAAACCTGATCGTTGAGGATGATGGCTTGTAGGCCAACTCTTTTGAATGAGTCAACTGGTGGCAAGCATGCTCGATATTAGTAAGTTCTCAGCGCGTATGTGTGCACTGAAGTCCTGCGTGTCATGTTGCATTCCATTCGTTTTCACGATGTAAATTTGACAACATTGATCAAATATCTGCAACTTGGTCTCAGTGTGGACGTCATCATCACTATAAAGAAAGAGACGCACGCGCTGGTTCCAGCTAGAATTTGTTTTGCAACACGATTCTGACCCACGCGAGAGGGCTCGGCGAATTCGGCGACCTTCACTTGTACGTAGCGCATTGCACAATCCCAGCATCTTCGGGAATAAAGCAAGTCAAAAAATTGTTCAGAGCGTTCATTTAATGCCACGGACATGCTCATGCAAAAGTGGGTTCGAAGTGAAAACGAGAAAATTTCGCTTCATTCCACGGCCGTTTTCGGTAGTGGCCATGCCTTGCGCACCAAAAAGGCTCGTGCGTCTTTTTTCCAAACGAGACATTCTTGCGCAAGGTTTCAGCGTGGTTGTCTACTTGGTGTCTGAAACTTCCAGGGGTCGTTTACTCAGCGTCGTTATTGACTCGAAGTGGTCGCGACAGTACAAAGTCGTGCCACAGGTGACCGAGTTATGTTTATTATTACTGACTCATCCGAAATGGGAAGGGCACAACGTGCAATATGTTACATATCACATCTGGCTGTCAATACTCACGCACCGAATTCCATCTGAGATGTGTCGAGTCCAAAGGTTACCAAATGACTCACATGCTGCCTCTTGATGTGCACTAATCTTGATGAAAACCGTCGAAAAGCGAACAAAACATCAGTTTGCTACCAACCGATACATTTAGTGTCCGGGACTGTGTTCATTTGTCGACGAGAGGATCACTATCTGGTTTGACTATTCTGTGTGTACGAATGCAATAAGCTTGTGTCATACGAAGAAGAAAGAGAAAGGATCAAATATGGCTGACGACAAAGAACATGGCGAGACACATTCTTTCTATACTGCATCACACTGCGATCAGCGGCTTCAGGCTATAGGATGAATGTGGACATCCCAAGCCGCGTGCACAGCAAAATCCAACCGAAGCTGGTGTTTGAATTGTGGGAAAGGTGTCGTGCAAAATGATTACGCACTCTTTTTAGTCAGTCATTCTGCACGCGCGGCGCGTATGACAAGCAAAGCAGTATCTTCAAGTTAGAATGGAGGAGGATCACATTGGTTTCTCGTGTGACGAAGGAGACGTTGATGATCGTCGTGAAATGGAAAGATGCTGAAACAAGTGAGAGCATATATTGCGTTAAATGAATCCTGGACTTGCAGAGCTGCTGAGGCTTTTTTCGTCGACGACAAGCAAAGCTGTAGCTGCAGCTGACAACGAGAGGATGACCACACAGGTTTCTCGTGTTATATGGGAGACGTTGATCTTCGCTTTACTGTCGTTAGACGGCAAGACCAATTTCAAGGTTTGTGCTGCTCTGTGGTGGGTGAAATGACTTGGGTTGCGTAGTATTTGTCGTTTAGGTGAGCTCTGGTATGAAATTTTGAATTGCAAGTTGACAGCGAATGTAACGCAAAGGTGTGTATTTTCCATACACACCTGCCACACCAATGTGGTGTGGCTGTACCTTGGGTACAAGAGTAGGCTCGATGTGACCGTACCAAAAGTAAGAAGGGTCGCATCGTAGCAGAGAGACACTATACTTCGTTATGTATAGTGAATATACATGTTTGCATAATAATAAGCTATAGAGCCAGTAAATACTGACTAGCACTAAGTATAGAGTAGGTGCTTCTATATTTAGTGTTAGAAGGTAAACATAAATATAAATCAGTTTCAAACCTGCTCTATAGGCATCACTGTTTGAGCGTTCTATTCCTCCTGGGGAATCGTATCTTTGATACTAGTCTCTTTAAGACCCGGTTGTAACAGCCGATTGGCACAAGCTTACGAGTTAGCCTAGAAAATGTTAAACACACTAAGACGTAGAAGCTCTCTGAGCTTGTCTTTCTTTGCACTTAGTGTGTGTGTTTTGCTACAGTAGCTCTGCTACACCTGGTAGCACTTGTAGTCAATCCCGCACCTGTGTCTGTGACTTGTTCTCTGTGAGAATAGACATCGAAGTGATGTACGCGGTTGGCCTGTCACAGATGCAACAAGAAGGGTTGCAGAAGCTGCTCCCTATCCGTGACCCTAAGGGCGTAGAATACCTCAGTGCAGAAGGCGAAGAAGAGGTTAGCAAGCGTATTTGTATGCTTGATGAGTATAACAAAGCTGTAGTCGAGCATGTAAAGGCACAGATGCCTTCGTCTGCGCCTTCGCCCATGGCGACAATGGAGCAAGAAGTGGTCCGCCGGCCAAAACCCGTAGGTATGGAAGTCGATATGCTCGACGGCAAAGAAGGTGACAGCCTTATGCTTTGGTTCCGACAGGTTGAGTCGGCTATGTTTATAGCTGACATCACTTATGAACCGTACCGTGTGGGCTTTGCCACGGGCAAATTAGATGGTTTAGCCAAACAGTGGGCATTCACATGTGGTGCCTCACTGCAAGATGCGTTCCCACACATGGTCTGAACTTTCAGATCAGACGACCAGGCAGTATGCACCGCCAAATCAAGCGCACCGAAATTGGTCGAGATTCTTGGTGCGTCGCAAGGGGAAGTGTAATCTTGCGGCGTATATGCAAGAGTTGAGAGCTCACATTGCCGCCATTGTCATAGAACCATTGCCTAAAGTTAGTGACCGTTATGTTCTTTATAGAGGACCTACGAGTTTGCGTTGCCAGAATGAAAGTCTTCTGGGTAAACCGATACGTATTTTAGGAAGCTGTTGGAGTGGCATGAAATGCCGAGACCAACTTTTAAGGCCGCCTGGCCTGCGACTAATAACTACTCTGTGGTGGAGTGGGTTCCCAAAACTGCGTAATGAGACCCGAAGTCACTCACTGTGCCGGACTGCCGACTGTCGGAGGGGGTACCCCAAAAGCCGCGTATGAACCTTTTCTCACCTTGTGTACCCGTCGGCTGGCGGGTTGCTCTTCGCAGGACTTGGTTGAGATGTGATGTCAGTCTTGAGAAAGGTCGACTTTGGGGTGCCTCGAGTGAATATACTTCACTCGGTGGGCGGGTAGGTGGACACTTGGTAGGCGGGTAGGTAGACACTTGGTCGACTAGGTCAAGGGTGGGCTCATATCCAAATTCATTAGGGGAGACTCCCAACCCTGGGCTTTTCTTTGATATCTCAGGGGTGTTAACCGCCTGGCGTTTACTTGCTCTCGCTTCACTATGGTAGAGAGACCGCTTCTGATGGCAAGTTGATGGGTGTGGTGCTACTCAGACGAAATTAAAGGCCAATTATCATCAGGGGCTCTATTCACACTTAAGTTTTACCACACGCCTGTCTTCGACGGGGAACCAAAAGATATCCAGAACAGGTGGGTAGACTTAATAAAGTTCCTTGAAAGCACGACGAAGGTGTGCTACGTAGATTGACTATAGAATTGTATTTAGTAAAGTCCTATTTATTAACTACTCCTTTACTCTATCTTAATCCTAAGACCTGGCTCTTGATTTTAATTGGCAAGGATAGCTTGACCTCTTGACCACGACTTCTGTCCCTGAAAGTCGACCTTAGTCCTTCGTCAATAGACCTCAGTCCTTCGTCGATAGACCTCAGTCATGTGGTCGATGGACTCTTTGTCCCCCGCTCCCTGAGGTCGGCCTCGGTCCAGAGGTCCAGCTACCCTAGCCAGACAAAATCAAAAATCAGGCCTCAAGATATAGATTGAGTAAAGGAGTTAAAATATAAGACTATATTAAATACTACTCAATTTGCGATCAACATAGCACGCCTACGTCGTGCTTTCAAGGAACTTACGAAGTCTACCCACCTGTTCCGGGAAGAAATATATTTTGGTTCCTCGTCGAAGACAGGCGTGTGGTAAAACTTAAGTGTGAATAGAGCCCCAGATGATAATTGGCCTTTAATTTCGTCTGAGTAGCACCCCCCATCAACCCGCTATCGGAAGCGGTCTCCCTACCATAGTGAAGCAAGAGCAAGTAACGGCCAGGCGGTTAACACCCCTAAGATATCAAGGAAAAGGCCAGGGTTGGGAGTCTCCCCTAAAGAATTTGGTTATGAGCCCACCCTTGACCTAGTCGACCGAGAGTCCACATACCAGTCTACCGAGTGTCCACCTACCCACCCACCGAGTGAACTATATCCACTCGAGGCACTTCAAGGTCGCCTCCTTCAATGCCGACATATGATCTCTACCAAGTCCTCCGAAAAATGCAACCCGCCAGCCGATGGATACACAAGGTAAGAAAAGGTTCATACGCGGCTTTTGGGGTACCCTCTCCGACCGTCGGCAGTCCAGCTCAGTGAGTGACTTGGGGTCCCCTTACGCAGTTTTGGGAACCCACTTCACCACAGAATTATTTCACTTTGAACTGAAAGACTTTTTAAGTCTAAGTCTTCCTCTGGCCATTTACAGCCCCGCTGCAGAGAAACTTTTACAACCCTTCTGTTGCGCCTGAGATCGGCCAACCGCAGACGTCTCTTCGATGTCCGTTCTCACAGAGAAGTAGTCATAGATTCAGGTGCGCGATTGACGACAAGTGCTACCAGGTAGCCGAAAATCTATAGCAAACCTATATACGCAATAGTCGCCAAGGAAGACAAGCTCTAGAAGCTTTGCATTCAGGGTTTTTTAACCTTTAAAGGCTAGCTTCACATACTCATGCCTTCTTGTTTATGCAATTAACGTCTTTACGAGCCCAGTATTTTAGATACTACTTTCCAAGGTACGATCCTTTAGCAACATGCTCTTATGAAAGCAGGTTTTTATTGTTTTCTATGTTTTTCTTCTAAAACTAATATAAAATAACCTTAGTGCTAGTCACTAACTGGCTGAGTAGCCTTTTTCAGTTCATATATATTCATAGTACCGAACCAAGTACACGATGTGGACCCTTTGTATCTTAGGTACAATTACATCAAAAAAGGTTGTGAACCCTAATGTACCCAAAGTACAGCCCCACCGAAATAGTGTGGCAGGTGTGTATAAATAATACAAACCTCGTTGTCGTTTCAGTGAAAAATATGTAGTAATCAAATGTCGTTTTAATGGCTCAGGGCATTTCCACAACATCCACAACGTGGAATTTTACCGTGGGTCGATGTGGCAACGTCGACTCAAGCTCAAAGTCATAAATCTTCACGTGGAGATACTTGGACACTTGTCATGAGCGACGAGTTTAATACAGAAGGTCGTCGTTTTGATGCTGAAGAAGATCATCTATGGACAGCAATTGACAAACCAGATGGAGTGAATGCTGCACTCGAAATCTATTACTCCAATATGACAGGAACCAAGTGCGATAATGATAGCAATTGCTATTTTTACATTGAGTCTGATATTCATGAAACAAATCTTACAGTCTGGAATGAATATATTTCACCTCCTGGTTTTGAGAATGTGACGTTTTATTATCGATCAGCTATGGTACAAGGTTGGAATAAATTCTGTTTTCAAGGAGGACTAGTCACTGTACGAGTTCAATTGCCAGGTGCAGTCACAAATGCAACAGGTAATCCAGACGTTGCCACTGGTTCGACTAGTGTCCGTGCAACTAAAGTTGAATACTACCCAACATGGCCTGGTATTTGGTTAATGGGAAATCTTGGTCGTGCTATTTTCACGGGCTCCACAGCTCGGATGTGGCCGTTCTCGTACAATGAGTGCAATGACACCATCTTTGACTCACAAAATCAGCGAATCAGTGCTTGTGATGCCAACCCTGGGTCTGGAATGCGTCCAAATCAAGGACGCGGTGCTCCGGAAATCGATATTCTTGAAGGAGGTGGTACTGCGATTTCTTCCTCAGTTCAATTGGGACCGGGAATGCCCAACGACTTCCGAATGTTCACCGATAATTCGTCGGCCTTTTGCTTTTACAGCTATGAATGTACGGCAATAGGTGCCAACAACCAGGATGTCCCGACCAAGTACTACTGGGATCGACGCGGACATAAGTCATGGTACCAAGGACTGCGGTATGCCGCTAACAACCTCTGCGATGTCAAGAGCGACGATATACAGAGCTTTGCGACAATTAACGCGTCCGTGACTAAGGGTATTACCAAGAATGCGTGCACAATGGATTTGTGTCCGGCGTCATTCGATGTGAATGCTGACTTGGGCTACAAGGACAATGGAACAGTGCGCTGGGGTGTCAACTCAAATGGTACATGCTTTCCAAAGCAAAACGCCTACATGGGCTCATACCTATGTAATGCCGGTAACACTGCATCGGAGTGTACGCAGTCGGGTGGCTCAACGAGTGCTGAATCGATGTTTGAGTACCGGATGGACGCTATTTCATCAAATTGGGAAGTGCACATGGCTGCTTATCTGGATTGGGTGACGTACTCACTGGAATGGGTCACGGGAGACTCGGGCTACATTCGCTGGGAAGTGGAAGGACAGGTTATCTTCGAAATTCCGTCAGAAGCAATCACAAACCCGCCGCAGAATGCCGCCCAGATGAACCCCAAGAAGCTGATGATTGAAGAGCCAATGTACTTCATTTTTAATGTTGCGCTCTCAAGCACATGGGGCTCAAAGCCTCCCAATGCAGGTACAAGTGGTTGCTACGGTGATGGTACAGATAACACAACGGTCGCGATCTGCGATGCGTTCCCGATGTTCATGAAGATTGATTACATTCGCGTGTACCAGGATGTATCCAAGGGCTCATCGATGGCCTACGGGTGCGATCCGGTGACACACCCGACAAAGCAGTGGATTCAGGACAACATCGAGGACTACCAGGACGATGACAACTTGGTGGTATACGTTTCGGGCATGGCGTTCTGCGAGTCCGATGACGACTGTACCATCTCGAGCAGTGACTTGACTGATGTGACTACGGGTAGGTGCAACTCCAATAGTCGCTGTGAGTGTTCTGATTCATGGACTGGACCTCGCTGCACGGAGACTGCTAGCAATGAGGACAGTGACAGCCTGTTTGGCCCCTCGGTGCTAGTAGCTTCTTCAGTCGCTGTCGTGGCTTGTGTTGCCTTCATTGCTAATATGTACAAGGTGACCCAGGCAAAGCACAACGGTGCCCGTATACGTGGTCACTCAAAAGTCAATGCGAAGCACGCCAAGCAGATTGACATGACTGATGTCGACCAAACGGATGAAACCGCTAGAATAATTTTAAAAGGATCCTCACGGCACTACTATGGGTAGACAGAGTGCTAGGACCAAACAAGAGGCGAATCCATCAGTTTCTCTTTCACTTAAAGAAGCAATATCACATGCAACTAGTGTAGATATGCCATTCCTGTTGATGAAGTGCCTAAAGTAAAGCGCAATATGCCATTAGATTACAGAACAAATTTCATACCGATTGAGATGCGTTTAAATCATTAGATATACTTTCTGAATTAGTGGGTGCCCAGCCGCGAGAGATGAGCCGGAATCAAAGCTGGCAATGATATTTGGGACAGATCGACGGTAGAGATGAGCTTAATGGACTTGCAAATGAACATATCTGCTTATCTCGCATGATGTACATGAGCACTGGCAATGCACCGTCGCGGTTCAAGTAAAACAGTTTAATTGACATCGAGGCTAGACACTTGAGTGCACCGCAAGATCTGCCTGATAATCCAAACGATCTCCGACGATATTTGTTAGTTTTTTTCGTGCACACAAAGATGCTCTCAACATGCTTCTTCTCAATCAGATGTACCTGCGCTGTCCCAAACTATAGCGTTCAAAGGAACAGATCAGGCTGATTAAAGGCAGGGATTGCTACAAAGTGAGCACGCATCCCCAATCCCCCAATCAAATATTTGAGATTGACATGGTCAGCGTCTTTAATAAATGCAGTGTTCGTTGCAATCGTCTTTGGGAGCCTTTACCATAAAGGCTGCACCAATGATAACAGCTGTGTTTCAGAATGCATGCGCATCCCGCTGGGCACATAAAACATGCCATCGAGGTGGTGATGCGTGAATTACCGCGAATTACAGTAAAAGCATCGGCTATGAGCACCCGGTTTTCTCTACGCTCAATTTGGTGAGCCTCCATCCGCTGTTGCTTTGGTTGCAGCACTTTTTTGCTGCCAGCTTTGCTATAAGGACTCATGATTAAATACACTTGATCGATATCAAGTGACAAGCTGTATATAATGTAAACAAAAAGACATGTGTCTTGACGGTTGATGCTGTTTTCTGTTTGCGTTTATCAATCGTTGAAATTTTTAACATACAGGGACTGGATGTTCTAACCAAATTTCACCCGTCAGGATGAAAAAGCGCTGAAGCTTATTAGGTCAGTAAAGTTGAAAGAGTTTGGATAACATTATTATTTATTAATACGTAGGCCAAACGAACCCTTGAATGGCGGCCATCAATTGTTGTTACTTATGTCAACCACAAAAACGGCAGCACTGACAATACAGTTGCTTGCTCCGTGCATAGTAGATGGCGTAGCAAGTTAAAAATCGAGTAACGCAAGTCTCGTATTGGCAGTGCAAAGCACGACCTGCACGCGAACCAATTGTTGCAATGCAATCGCTGCAAAAAGGACATTATAACTGTTACTGCACTGCATCTTGCGGACCTTTGGCACGTGAGACTGCCATGTCACTAACTGATGCGTGTTGATCATTAAGCAAATAGTCAAGTATCCGCTACAGTTCAAGCTACCTTCCCATCCTAAGGATTGTGCCTAATGGAGGTGGATTCACTTTCCTCTCTTGCAGCTCTTGCGATTTGATCATGTGCTGCCCTGTCCGCCGATCAGGCTATATGCATACATTAAAAAATGCCAACCATTAACTGAGTTACAGCAAGCTTCACAACAATGCAAGCCAGACTCAATGAGCCGTCACCCACTGACGGGGGCAGCGACATTATGGCGAGCTTGCCAGCAAAATTGCGTCGTACACCACAGTCAGATGAACGGCCGTTCGTATGTCCGATTCCATCTTGCAGCGGTCGTTTTCGACGCAAGTATACGCTGCGCGAGCATATCAAGACGCACACAGGTGAGCAACCTTATGAATGCCCTATCGAGAGCTGCGGCAGGCGCTTTAGCACGTCGGGCAATCTGGCGCGACATCGAAAGCTGCATGCGATCTACAAGTATCAGTGCCCTGTGGTGCAATGTTCTCGGGAATTCAAGAGTCGCGAAAAGCTTCAAAGACATCTCAAAACCCACACCACGGACCTTCCGAACACATGTGGCAGGACATTCAGCACTGGTGGTAATTTTTCCCAGCACCTTCAAGAGCGACGAAATCATCCACCAAATTATATCCGAGGGAATCGAGTTGATATTGCTCGACAACCACCGATATTGAAGAGTTTGCCCGTCCATGAGCAGCAGAAGTGTCGATTTCCTATGCAAGAACGGCCAAATTGGCTAATACAATCTCCGGTTGTGCCTAGTGCTATGCTTTTCAAAGAACGAAGGTGGTCTGCAGCACCAATGCAAGACGCGGTGATTGCTGCACAATCGAGACCCGAGCACACTCGCATTTCTGATCAAGACGTTCAGGACATTTTGGATTGCTTGTTTGCCGATAATCCAGCGGTGCAGTCCGTGAGTAAAATGAGCAGCAGGATCTGGAATGAGCCAGCTTTCCTCGGAGCCAATCATCTGTATGGGTAATCCGGTGACCACTGAATTACTGTGATAAGTGTGCTTGTTGAGAAATAAGTTGACGTTGTTCTAAAGGTGACCGTTCATGGTATTTTTCTTAATATAACCAGCATAGCATCATATCGTTCATGATATTCCATCAACATGTTAAGCATAGCACTTTTACACGAGGTGTCTATGTAGAGACACGAATGTACTATGGGCTTGCACCACTCCGCGTTCTGTGCGTACGTGTGCAAACGTCACTATTCAGCTTAGGTCAACGTTTTTCGACCTGCGATCTTATCCTAATGCAAAGAAGTATAGTTCGTCAGAACGATGCACTTCTTTGTCAGCGGCTGCGGCACAATACAGTACTTGACGACACCGAAATACACCAAAGCTCGGTGGGTTTTCATAAGTGAAGATCGGAAAGAGGTTCTTGGCAGCAAAGCATGCTGTCTTGGTCCGTTGCAGAGCATTTCGGCACCAACTTGACCTCGTAGTCTTAGTGCTGTGCAAAAGCACGCGCTACAATCACAAGCCTCGAAGAATTGCTCGCAGACACGATGGTGAATACATCGTATCAGGTTCAAAGGGCTAGTAACGACGCTATAACGACAAAGGCCGACAGTGTTGTCGAGGTCATTCACGACGATCATGCCGCCACGATAATCTTCTTGAAAAAGCATCACAAAAGAGCAGTCGTAACCGTCTATCTATCAATCATTTACAAGCTTGTCCGAAGACGATGCTAAGGTCGGTCCGTGCAATTCGTTTGGCTGCAGATTCACCTCCAAATCCCACGGTCAAAAAAGTAGCTGGTCGCCTATCCACGGTATCCGGCTGTCAGGCTTTCATTGAGTGTAAAAGACAAGCGCGATAAAAACACGTTCGAACGTCAAGTTGAGCAGCATTTGTATGAGTGTAAATTGGAAGCAAAGTGTCAAACGACAGTTTCAATGTCAGATGGCTGCGCCTGAGCTTTGCTGATTTGTATTGCGCCCGACCAGCAGTTTCCAATCCCTGTTGCACGACTGAGCCTAGACATTTTGTAGTAAACTGGACGGTAATGACAAACAGCCAGCAAAGCTTAGGAAAGAAATAATCACGTAAGCATCTGATGTGTCCCGTCCAAAGAACGAATTCAGCGACACTGTCGCCCTATCCTCTGGCTACTAGTAAACCAGACGGCGGCGTTAAGAACCACCACCACACAGACTTACTTTGGGCTCCGTTGTATTCTCGAACGTACCCGCTCGAGGTGAAGCAAGTCACTGTTCAATCAACACAAGAGTAGTTACGTGTCGACCCACTTTCCCTCTCCTCTCCTCTATCTATCTATCTCTCCTCTTCTGATTCGCGTCAATTGATTTTGAATTTACATACCATGCAAGCTATGCTCAGCGACAATACACGAGACCCACCATTTTATCTACAACGCTGTATTCCCACTCACTTCCAGCAACATCACGATCCAAATACTCATGCTAATCACATTAGTAGTGCCGTATCCAATCTCGTTCATGGTGCCAATGCCAACGACAATACAAGTGTTACCCCACGTCGAGCGGGTACTTCACGTCGTGCCGCTCCGTCCGAAGATCGTCCATTTGCTTGTCCTGTGCCCAACTGTGGTGGACGCTTTCATCGCAAGTTTACGTTGCATGAACATCTCAAGACGCACACGGGTGAGCAACCTCACCAATGCCCTGTTGCAGAATGTGGAAAACGTTTTAGTACTTCTGGTAATCTTGCTCGCCATCGGAAACTTCATGCCATGCGCAAGATCAGTTGTCCAGCTGCACATTGTACGCGAGTGTTTACAAGTCGTGAAAAACTGGTGCCTCATCTAAAGGTCCATCTTGCACGCACACCGCATACGTGCGACTTTGCTGGCTGTGGTAAAACTTTTAGTACTGCTGGTAACCTCACTCGTCATCGACGTACGCAGCATCGTGCGGGTCCTCCTCCTACTCGACAAGAAGCAGTCCCAGCATCTATTAGACCGATGTCGGCGCTACCACGTCCAAAGTTCGAGTTTCCAGGCCGCAGTGCCCCGCCTCCGACGGGTCCACTTTTGATGCGGGGGCTGCTCTGGTCGCCTCAACCGCCTGTTGAACATCCTCCTCAGCAGCGCATTCTGGAGTCGGACGTGCAGGACTTGTTTGATTGTCTGTTTGTTGAGAATGCGCAAGCTGCTGCGGCGGCAGCCGCTCAAGGACACCACAACGTCTCAATTATTAGAGACAGACTTCCTAAACTTGAACTGCAGCGCGAAAACAGGGCCCCGCAACACTCCCAGGTACCATACCTAGCTGCTACGTACGAATTTTAGACCGTGTAGAACTGCATTGTAGGCGTCTGCTGTTCGTAAACTATCAATCAATGCGGTTACCATTAGATCCGTAGTTTTTGCTATTCTCAGCCTTCTAGCACACATTGACGTTAAAGTATGAACGATACAACAGCTTGCAATAGAAGAAACAAGCTTCAATTCATTTCCAGTTGAATTTGCTATCAGCCCATGCTCGGTGCTGGACACGTCTTTTATTCACGCCAAATGGCATATCTTCTTATCGCTGCAAAAACAAGCGTCTTTGTATTACAAGTTTGCATGAAGAAAAAACTAAATGGGCACTTCTTGTCCTTTGCCTCCCCGAAAGCCGTACATGGAAGCAGAAAGAAGACTCACCTTGAAGTTTAAGCCCCAGCCAGCTTGTATTTGCGTGCCTTGATTCCAAGACATTTTTCAGAAACGTATTCCACCTTCTTCGCTAAGTTGTAGCAAATCGTATCTGCAAGGAAAATACTGAGTAAGCGCGTCTATCTGACAATCAGGATTTAACTATAAGCTTAAAAGAACAAGTCTGTCGTGGCAACGTAGTGGTAATTCAAACGTGGCATATGTAGCATACAGCTGGTGATTTGGCTACCGATACGATTAGACAGCGATCGTAATCACTCCTCGTACATGTACAGTACATGTAGCACAAGGCTCCGAAATTTTAGGAGGCAATCAGCGCAAAACCGGCTGATTTGCAAGCGAATCCTTCGGCTGTTTGAGACCGCTTCTGGCCAGAAAATCTGCCTTTACCTCTCAGCTGGGAATGGGAATCGCTCAAATGCGCCGTAATCATGTGTGCAACCGCAACACGTGCTTTTGCCATTTATTGACGAAATTACAAACCGTCAACTTGGAGAGCACATCGTTCATATCAGCTGGCTGCGCCGTAGGAAACGTATGGACAATACCATGGTGAATTGCAGAAAACGTTGTCACACCCAGGTGAGTCAGAAGAATTGGAAAATTCAGCCGCATTGCCCAACGTGTATTGGCATTTATAAAAACGATCCTGGTCTGTTTGGGACAGAGTCTACGGATGTTTTGTAATACGATAGTATTGATTACTTTCCTTAGCACAAGGATGCCCAATTCAGTTTACTAAAGCAAATTGACTGAAAGCTACAAAGAACAATATAGACGCAGCTATCATTACAGCTGCTGTCTATATTGTTCTTTTTATAGTACTACCTTTTGTTGGGGCTATCAATTTGTTGAAGTCAATGGGTCACGATGTGATATTACATCTTGGCTAAAATTTGCAAGTACAGTGTGTGGCCGAGGACGGTAACTCTGCAATAATTTGTAAAACTCTACACTGGCATGGGTCCTCCTCAAAGATGGATAGACGAATTAGTTCGTCGTGACGCTCGAGCGATGCGTTGTATATGTCCAACATGTAGCTTCCTAGTTTGTTTGTCGCGACAAGAGCCGCGTAAGTAATAAATGACTTCAAGGCTGTGGGGTTCAAAAACTTTGATGCAAGTAGGTTTGAACATGTAGCTTTGAGCGAGATTTGAATAACTACTAGAACAGCAACTGAAGAGCAGACGGGAGTACCTTGTCCAGAATATATACATGTGTACGGTAGACCTCCCACGGTTGAATAGTACAGTTTTTTTTGCTGTAACGCCATTCGCTCTGGGTATATTGGCTACTTCCACAGGGTTTCAAAGTCGTGTTAGACATGTCCTACACCATAGAGATCCGTTCATCTTCCAATCACAAAGTCAATGTCTTCCCGTTTTCATTGAAATGGTCGGCTCTTAGCGCGTGTTCCTTATGGCTTTCGCGAACCAAGAGGGACGTGCGCCTCCGGTTCTCTGCACCAAGGTTGGCTTTTCCCGGGTTGGTTCTCGGTGGACATGAGAAATGCAAATGCGCCGCCTTGCAATCTAGCAGTTGGACACCTTAATCATTTTTATTCACGCTGCAACTTGTTTGACAACGCCACGAGGCAAACAGCCGTATATCCCGCCTAGAGACTATTCAAGCCCTGGCGTGGCACACGGACGAGACAAACGTGCCAACTGGCTGTACAGACCGTGCAAGTCACAGCGGATCAACAGGAGCGACGTAGTAACTGGCCTGTCAATGGACTAGCCGTTCGCGAGGACAGGGCGAGCCGCCTCCATGTGGATAGGAAGTTGAAAACTGCGCCTCTAGTGAGCTCACTTTAAAACTTGCCTTCCATCTCACAACGACTAAAAGCGTTTGTGATCACCTACCTGCCCAATCCAAGCACTTCAAACAAACTTTCTCGTCGACATGAAGCATACCGAACGTAACATTGCTAATGTCACTACTTCTCTTGCTGTCGGACCGGCTCCGACACAGGAGCGTGAACGACCATTTCAGTGCCCCGTGCCGTCATGTAATGGTCGCTTCCAGCGCAAGTTTACCTTACGTGAGCACATGAAGACCCACACAGGCGAGAAGCCGTACCAATGTGCAATTCGCTCATGTGCTAAGCGCTTCAGCACCTCTGGCAACTTGGCTCGTCACCGTCGCCTTCACTTGCTCAAGAAGCTCGAATGCCCGGTCGAGGGATGTACGCGCATCTTTACCAAGTCGGAAAAACTTGCTCGCCATCTACAAAACCATCTCGGCAGCGTTGCACACATCTGCGTTGTGGAAGGCTGTGGCAAGACGTTTAGTACCTCCGGTAACTTAACGCGTCACTTGCGCACGCAACATTCACCTGGAGCTGTGGCCGCTGCTCGCGCTGCTTCCCAACCCAAGCTCCTTCCCTCAATCGCTCGACCAAACTCGGCTTCTAGTGCTGAGTATGCACCATGGTCAACACATACCACGAGTGCTGCTGAGCAGAACATCAGCGTCCCTCAGGCTGTGAATGTGTCAGATCACGAGATTCTAGACGTACTACAATGTCTTTTTGTCGACGAAAATCCCGTTTCATTTGCGGTGCACGCAGAGCAGCCCCAGGAGCAGTACCGCCTTCACAGTGACCAGCCCGTACTGCTTTACCTTTAAACATTGCCTCGGGCGTGTTCTCCTGAGTGAAAGAGCTGTATGCACTAGTTTATAAACAGTGGAGTGTTGTATATCTATTTTTAAACAAACCAACTCATTTCGCTTTGCTTTTGAGCTTTCGTCTTTAACCCGTTTTAATTTATTCTACACCAATGTAGCAATCATGACAGACACAACTTCTGTTGAATCCATGGTCAGTGTGTTGGGTCGCAAGTATCTACAGACTGTACCGTACTTTGCGTAAATTTAGTGTTTATATGTATGTACACCCAAAGAATGAATGAATTAATCAATCATCAATACTAATTATTACATCCCAATGTTTTCTGCCGTATCAGGAACTCGCTGTGGTCAAAACTGTATGCATAAGCTCACTATACATTCATACTCCAGCAGAATGTGCTGATGGCTGATGACTTTGCTGCATTTAGGCCTATCGACAGTTGTTGTCAAGCAACAGCAACTGAGCAGAACATCAACCTCTGAAGTTCAGTCTGCAAATCTTAAACGACACCAAGAGCGACATTGAGCGACATAACAACAACACACTAGTTATTTCGTATACTTCGGCCGGCCGGGAAGCACGACAGGATTTAATTCTAGACCAGATTACGACTTGTAATGGTGTTGTTGATTTAAATGCGCTGATAGGAACGACTACGTTCTTAGATCATCCACTTCAATTATCTACTGCCAGCACCATGTCGCACGCAATGAAGAAAATTAGCTGCTAAAGGTGACCAAGGTGATGGATAATGATGTTGCAGCCTTCCATAGACCAATCTGCTCACACACCAAGAAGTAATCGCATTGCTTGCTACGAATTATGCGCTTAAACTTTCAAGTAGCCAAGGTAATATACTATGGGCTTCGATGCTGTGTTGCGATTAGACCTGACATTCACAGCGTTGCGTTTGAGCGCGCATTACGGCACGAGCAAGTTTTGTGTTTAATGGCAGTGTAACCGTATAGCCGTGACGTTGTATACGACGGGTAAAACTTTCCACGATAGCAAAGCAATAACCGTATCTTCCATCTCAGCCAAAGAAGATTGATACGTATTCTCAATTATTCAGACAAATAAAACGTTTGAATCTTCGGTACTCAACGATTGCACCATGGTCTAATATAGTTAGTTGTCTTGCACCAAGATCAGCATTTAGACGATAATTACGCTTCAAGCTAACAGACTTTTGTCGTACGATGACGGACGAAAATACATGTAGTGAGCCCCGCCAAACTTAAAACGCTTGCGTCGCAGGGCTAGTAAAGATAATTACACACGTAACGACAGCAAGAAGTATAAAGTGAACGTTCTTGCTTTGGGTCAACTTCGACTAAGGGGAAACAATTCTGTCCAGTGCCATTGACGGCGTCGGCCAGGGTTTAGTCTAATGGTACGATCACACAAACACGGTACTTCTGCTTTGTTCAGTTAAATCTCTTATTAGAGGTCAGCACTTAAAGGTAGGGACATTTAGCATGATATATTGGTAAGGTAGGAGAAAGTGATTCAACCGCTACACGTTTGTATGAAACGGCAGAGAAAGTGATCATGCGCCTGCAATACCTGAACTAGATTGTTTAGCCATAACAATCGACAAATCTGACACCATTTGTGAAAATGACGGTAAAGCGACCTATCCATTCGGACGTAGGGTGTATTTCTTTGACGAACGTACTGGTCGGTCACACGTGGCGGAAAGCTTTTGTTTGTTTTGATCGAAATGATGTTGAGCTGAACGAGAAGGACGCGGCTTTGTCCCAGGGTTACAAGTGATGACGCGATAACTAATCCAGAAAACGATTAGATTAAAGGATGTGCTCACTAGCAATTTGCCGAAATGATAGAGATGACTGCCCTCAACAGTACAAAATCGTGATTAAGAAAATGCTTTGTGGTAGAATGCCCAATAAAGCGAAAAGAAGTGAACCTGAGTGTGTCAATGCGTGAAATCCATATTATTTGGGCTACGAAAATAAAGTGGAAAGCCTTCTGATGTGCATTGGAAACCTGCCATGCTTTTTGGTGTTGATTCCATGAGACGTTCGCGGTATTGGCGACAATGTCATCGTTACGATTATTGCTTGCAGCTGGCAGCGTCACTAAGGCTCCAAACGTTTGATATCAATACGGCATATCAAAATATTTTTTACAGACGAGTAGTTTAATGGATGTAAAGTAATTATTTACTAGGCTTGAACAATCATTAGTTTTGCTTTGAATTTGACGACAACAGCAAAAGCTTACATCACAGAAACGACACTATATTTGGTCACCGTGACGACAAATCTCGACGACACCGTCGTATCCAAGTTGGAATCTTGGAGTCCAGAGCCACAATTGTCTTTTCCTAGTGAATGTTTTTGTTTACAGATACAAGAGCTAGCAAAATCAACTAGAACCTTCTCATTTGTGGCCGAACTTACCAGGTTTAAAACTGTCACACTAACGCAAAGGTGTGTATTGTACATACACACATGCCACACTATTGTGGTGTGGGTGATTTCCTACCTAAGGTAGAAGGGTCGACGTGGTCATTATACTGATTTGAAGTACGATGAATACATATGTTTACACATTAGTAGGCTACAGAGCCAGATAAATAGTGACTAGCACCAAGTATGGAGTAGGTGAGAAGATAAACAATTAATAATAGTTTCAAACCTTCTCTGTATTGCATTGTTGCAAGAACGTTAGTCCTTGAAAGAAATGAAGTGTATCTTGGATACTGGTCTCTTGAAGACGTGGTTACTTACAACCAAAAGACACAAGCTTGTAAAGCTAGCCTTGAGAGGCTTGTCAACCCTAAGATGTAAAGCTCCTTGAGCTTGTCTTCTTCCTCTTTCACTTAGTTCATAGGTAGCTTTGCTACACCTGGTAGCACTTGTAGTCAATCCCGCACCTAAGTTTACAACTACTTCTCTGTGTGAGAATAGACATCGACGAAATGTCAGCGGTTGGCCTGTCACAGGCACATCAGGAAGGGTTGCAAAAGCTGCTCCCTATTCTTGGGCCTAATTGCGTGAAACACCTTATCGCCCAGGCAAGGAAGAGGTCAACAAGCGTATAAATATGCTTATAGATCATAATAACGCTCTGGGAGAGCATGTAAAGTCACAGATGCCTTCTTCTGCGCCGTCTTCGATGGAGACTATGGCGCAAAAGTGGTCCACAGACCAAAACCCATTCAGATGGAAGTCGACATGTTTGACGGCATAGAAGATGATAACCTATGCTGTGATTACGACATGTTGAGTCGGCTATGTGTATAGCCGACATCACCTATGAACCGTACCGTGTTGGCTTTGCTACGGGTAAGGTGAGTGGATTAACCAAGAAATGGGAACTCACATGCAGTGCATCGTTGCAAGATGCAATCCCAACATGGGCCAATTTAAAAGCTCAGATGGCCTGGCAGTATGCCCCTCCAAATCATGCACACCAAAATCGGTCGCGATTTTCAGCTTGTCGCCAAGGTAAGCGTGAGCTTGCGGCATATCTGCAAGAGTTGAGACATCTCATTGCTGCCATGTCCATAGACCCTATGAATGAGGCAGTAAACGTCACGGTCTTCATCGAGGGCCTTCGAGCTGGCGTTTCCAGAACGAACGTCTTCTGGGTAAACCTGCCCACGGACGAGGAAGCTGTTGGAGTGTCATGGAATGCCGAGATCAACGTTAAGGCCGCCTGGCCTGACAATTTTTGCTACTTGTCTGATGGGTATGTTAGTATGAACTGTAGTCAAGTGGAAGAAAAGAAGCTGAAATTCAGGCTGCAGAGCAGCAAATTGTACGCAGATGGTATATCTGCAAGAGCACAGGTCATTTGATGGCAAAATGCCCTGCAAGAAAGGCATATTTGGACTCAAGAGGCCAACAACGCGCAAGCAAACCCTTTGGTTTGCTCGCCGTACTTTCAGCAGTATGCTGAAGCGCTTAGAGCGTGTGAGAGTGGCACAGTAACAGTTCACATAGCGACGGATACACGCGTTACGATACCCAAATCCCATATGGACTTCAATGTAATGATCCTAGGATTCAACAGCATCAAACGCTGTTTGGTCTTAGTCCTGGATGCGTGGTATGACCTCATCCTAGGCATAGTATTGCTTGGGCTCCATGAGACATGGATTGATTGGAGGTCAAAGACCTTAGTCGCAATGCTTATTGGTGCTGGTGGGGCTCTGGTGAGTCATGAAACCACCTCTGCTTATTAGCAAAAGCGCTTTTGGCGCGGATATTGGACCGAGTCGGTCAATATTTTGGAAGTTGAATACTTCGATTTTGCTGACACTATAAGTGTCGAGGACAATAGTCCAGGGTGAGGCCCTAGGGCGGTCAGTAGTATGGTTGAAAACCCACTAGATCACACATGTGACATGTGTCATTAGAATGATGTAACATCATAAAAAACTATGAGTTGTGTGAGTGCCTACAAGACAAGATGTCTAGACAAGCCTGCTAGTGACATAGATGACAATGTACTGACCTTGAAGGGTTTAATGAAGTTACCAATGGATGTTCTTTTTGAGTACAACAAGGCCCAAGCACCTAACGACAAGGTAGTGGCCCATGAGGGTCGGGTGGAGTCACACATAAATGTTGTGTTTTTTGAGGACAACGAGGTGCATGCACCTAGTGACAAGGTAATGATGACCCAACATGTTAAAGTGAAGTCAGTAAACGAAGTGGCCTTCGACTTCCAAGTAGTTATACTTGTGGACTTTGTTGCGTCGAATGCTGACATCATCAAGATTAGTGTGAAACGCGTTTCAAGATCTGGAAGCCAGAGGACCAGTGGGCCAAAGAATAAGGAACTTGCCAAGGAGGAGAGATCGTTGGGTAAGGGACAGAGAGAAGAGGCGTTAAAGGGAAAGGGCAACAAGTGCTGGATGGGAAGAATTCACGGTCAAAGCGTGCTATTTGGCCACTATTCAAAGGAGTTATTCGCAGTTAGCCCGATGGACCGCGGTTCCTTAAGGTGGACCCCGGCTTTTCAAGGACGACCCTGGTCTATCATTTGTAGACCTCGGTCTTTTATAAAAGCAAGCCTCGATCTCTGGTCGATGGATCCTCGACCCTAGTGTCTGGAGGTCGACCTTGGCCCCTCCTCAATATGTTTTGGTACCTCGTCAATAGGCCTCGGTCCTTCGTCGATAGACCTTGTTCCTTCGCTCGATGGACGGTCTCAGCCCCGGTCCCTGAAGGTACCAGGACCATGGTCTTTCGTCCATTGAATCTCGGTTTTTCGTCAAAAGGCCTCAGTCCTCCGTCGATATATCTTGGTCACTCGGTCGATGGACTCGTGGTCCTGGTCCCTGAGGTTGACCTTGGTCCTTCGTCGATAGACCTTGGTCCGTCGACCGAGGGACCAAGGTCTATCGACGAAGGACCGAGGCCTATTGACGAGGTACCAAGACATATTGAGGAGGGGCCAAGGTCGACCTCCAGACACTAGGGTCGAGGATCCATCGACCAGAGAT